CACCCTCTGGGAGATGCTTAGAACTTTGCAGGATTTGGCTCTCCCACCTACTCAAAGTTCTGAAACCTCTCCCAGAGCAGAGACTGCCCAACGTTGCAGAGCTTCCAGCAATTGCCAAGGCTTATTTTGAGAACTAGGCTAAAGCAACCGATGACTAAGAAAGGCCTAAATTGAAGCTAGTCTGGATAAACGAATATGATTTGAACTCATCTGGACAAAATTCAGGTTGAAAATCACCTTCTGCATGACTTCAGCTCAAGGCTTCTCCATCACAAAAACCCTATTCTGAGGATTTTAATAAGAACACATAATTAAAGCCTTGATCAGAATCCATGTGCATGGGTGTTTTTTATCCCAAATGCACTTTGATTTGTTCACCCAATTCTATGACAGTTTGTCATAGAATACACAGTTGCTGTGTATTTTAAAAAAAACACATATCGAAGCTGTTCTTCTGTTTGCTAAGTACAGCTCTGCAGTTATGAAAGGCCTGACAAACACTATGTAGAGGTTCCATTTTGTTCACTTTAGGAAGCAAAAAGCTGCAAAGGCTCAGGGAAGAATGCCTTTAAGACTGATGGAGCTCATGACATTTATATAAGAGCACTTAAGCATGGAGTTGCTGAAACTGCTGTCTACAATAAAAACGTATGCTTATTAGTTTTTTTTAAGCAACACTTCATAAAAGACCCGTCTACAGCTCTGTCATCAATCTGAATCCAAATCTAACTTCTTCCAGGAAAAAACAGCGACACACTAATAAAACAAGCACCAATTGTAAAAGAACAATGAAGAGGACTGGGCTCAATTATCTACGGGTTCCTACTAAAAAGCTCGAACAATCCCAGTTCTAGGTTCCTCCCTCCCTGAACCTTGGGAAATGAAACCACACTGTCTATGTGTTCATGATAAACAATCTCCTTCACTTCCGAGCAAGACAACCAAACTCCTACAACCATGCAGAACATTGTTAGGGAGGACAAGAGCACAGCATTTCCTTGGGAAAGCCCAAAGAAGGCAAGATCACTAGCTGAAACCAACACACTCCAGACCCTGCAGCTGGAGAGACCTCACCATCAAAGATGGTGAAGAGGGGAAGAAGTCAGGACCTCAAGAAAGCTCTTGGATAATCAGGAGCTGCCTAACGACTGATGGCAGCTCCTGAGCCTTGCTGTCCCTCCTCTGGCTCTTCCACAGCTTCTGGTAGAGGGCTTCCAAGAGCCCCTTGTTGAGGTTTTCAGGCCATCTTGCCCTTCCCCTCTTGTGCCAGGCATCAATGAGCTGCCTACGCTTCCCTGGTATCTGTGGCAAAACCCAACGGGCCCTTGAACCAGGGTTGGTCCCCTCTCCCAGCCGGGAGGGTTGTCCCCTCTCCGAGGAGTCAAATCTCCCCTGGCCCTTCCTGTCAGCCCTGTGCTGGGTCTTTCTTCCTCCCAGCATTGTGTCCACAAGGCCAGACCTCCATGTCGCTGGCCCACCAGGCTATGGTGGTCTTGCCCCTGCGGGAAGTAAGAGTAGGCCAAACCTTCTCTTGAGCTCTCCAGTTTTTATCCCAGACTAGTTGATACTGAAGGAATAATACTTCTGTCCAAGTAAACAAATGCATTATTGCAGCTGACATTAAAGAACAAGTTTCAGGCTTTTGGTCTGTTAAAAACAATGAAGGAAACCTTGCTATGCAGTAAAACTGGGAAAATTCTCTGGTTCTTCTTGTTGGCAACCACTGGCTGTGTTTTCCCTCCTGCATGCTAATAAACACATGTGACCACACATGCAAAAATATGAGTACTGCCACTGGAATTAACAAAATATTATAAAAGGGATCAGCTGGTTTGAATAGAAAATTTCCCCTAGCAATTTAATGGTAGATGAAGATTCCCACTGTGCTGCAACACAGCAGCAGGAACATAAGCTTGCAAAAAATTTCTCTCTCTATCTGGTTGGGTATATACAGCCTATTAAAGACTCCTTGTATTCCTGTCATGCAGTTTCCTATCCCTCTTTTGTGCTGTCTAAGCATTTTGTATTCTGCACTTATTTCCTTTAAAAATCAATTAGGAAAAATCAAATAAATCCTTTTCTAAGGCTGAGCATCGCAGACTACCATGTTTTTTTTCTGATCCTTAGTTACAAGCAAAAAACCCTCAGTCTTACACCAAGCCATCCAAAGACCATGGTGTATGTATCTTCTACTTTCACTGAAATTAACTCCTCTTTGTCAAATCAGCTTCCCTTTAAAACTTGCTGTTGTTTTATAGCATTTACAATATGTTGTATGTTAGTTCCTAGTGAAAACTATTACCCCTGAAAATATATGCACGCAAAAAGACAAAGTATGTATTACAGACCGATACACTTACTAGTCAGCAGGGAAACCATTTTCCTGATTTTTCTTATCATAGCACACTAAGAGCATCCATCTGGTTAAGCCTTAAGTCAGCAACATGCTGTTTATCTTTTGAAATACATGGTTTGATCAGATACTGAGGTTCAGGCAAGAACAATAAACAGCAGTGGTGGAAATCCCCCATTTCTCATATACATGGACACACTAGCGGATAAACCATGTTTGGGATTACTATATTAGGAAGGGACTTTGAAGGAAACAAAAGAGCATGACAGCAAGAGCAGTGCACAAGGCTACCATGCCTACCAGAAATTTCCTTTTCTGCTTCCAGTGGCTTCCTTGTGCATTGGTGGCCACATGTGCTTCGGTAACAATTTTGATCAGCTCCCATTCCTCATCTGTTGGCTCTGGTTTGTGCCCGATGGTTTTCTGCAGCTCTTCCCGGCGCCTCTTCTCACGATTTTCTTCTATCAGCTTCCTCTTCGCCAACCGCTTGCTGTCATCCAACACCACTAACAGGGGCAAAAGCAAACAGAAATGACAAGCTCTTAGGCTTGTCTTTGTTTTTTTTTTTCTATGACTGGTGCACTAACTGACTGCAAACACCTTAGCTAATTGGTATAGAAGTGCTTCTCTTATTTCTCTCCTCAAGCTTCAATCTCTTCAAAGCCTTGATTGCAAAGAGTGACTTACCTTTCTGCCTATATAATGTATACTATCATTGTCTTTAGATGTTTATTCACAGGAAATAAAGTCAATATGGAAAAGCTTGGAGAGAATACAGAAAAAGGCAATGACAGTTTCTTTGGCACATTCATACATGCCATCCACAGAGGTGGTTTTCAAGCAGTGATGTGTGTTGGTCAGAATCAGACTCCAACCAACTTCTTACTCTACAGAGGCACTGAAAAGCTGAGGCTGAGGCTGATCACTGCCATGTTTGTCCAGCAGGGCAGGGCTTGAACTAACCATCTCAAGTTACCCAATTCCCTCTCCTGAAGTTCTGCCTGGCTGAAACGAAGTTGTATGGTTTCTTCTGTTTCCGTGCATACAGAAAACACCTTAAATTATTGATTAAAAATATTAAACTAGAATATTTTTATGTTGTTTTTCTTCATTTAGTCTGTCTCCCTTTCAGTTTTGTGCTGAGGATTACAGTGGTAACAACCATTAACACTAATGCACAGGGGGATTTACATGAGTTTCTCCCATTTACACTAATTGAAGTTATTAGTGTAAATCCCTGTGCAACGGCAGGAAAGGACGACCCCTAAGGGTTAATCTCACAGCCATATGTTCTTATTCTTTAGACTGTGAGTAGAGTTCTTTTCAACAGATAACTTCTTCATGGCTAAAAATAAAACAAACAACTGCAGGATGACTCATACAACGACATTCAATTTCACATCCTCCAGAATTTTCTAAACGAGATGTTTTTTTGCAAGCAAAGTGTCCATCCAGATGCATTTTCCCCCTCCTCTCCTCCTCTCGTGTTGCACAGGCTGCTAGGGTGAGGTGAAGGTCCAGTTTGGTAAACAAGACATTACAGCTCTATGAAAGTGGTTTGATGCAATGAATATAATTCCTGGGTACAAATTATTAAACCCGAAAAACGCCAGCAGTTCTGCTCTACTTAAACAATCTTCACCAATCAACATACTTCAAGCAAATAAACAAATGAAAAAAAAAGAGAGAGAGAGAGAAATGAAGAAAAAAGAGTAAAGTATACTTACAATCTGTTGCCATGCCAACAAAGATACATTTTTTGAAGCGACATTCCTGGCACTGGTTTCTTGTTACTTTGTCTATCACACATTTTCCTTCATATTTACAGGAATAGGTTGGATGGAGGTTTTTCTGAATGGTTCTTCTAAAAAAACCCTAAGTGCAATAAATAAATAAATTGGAAAGCATTAGTACTGTGTAGTTTTTTCAACTTCGAGGCACTTTGGTTTGGTATGAATTCAATTCACCTAAATATGCACGAAAATACTTTATTCCATGAAACTCTCAAAGAAGAAAGGAACAAAACAGTCTGCTAGTGCATGGTATTTCTGGTATTTCTGTTTCATAAAATACTTCCTCATGAAAAATTAGAAATATATAGACATCTGAGACAAGAAAAGGCATAAGGAATGCCTTCTTAAGGTACAGGATGGACTGTATATATCCCTGAAGTCCTTTGAGCCTTATGTTTTGTCTTTATTTATTTTTTTATTTATTTTTTGTATTTGTACTAGAGAGTTCTTTTCAAGCCCTCCTGAAGTCCTTCGAGCCTTATGTTTTGTCTTTATTTTTTTTTTTTATTTTTTTGTACTAGAGAGTTCTTTTCAAGCCCACTTCTGACACACAGAATCGTTTCAAGGGATATGGAAGACATGTGCATACTATTAATTAAAGAGAACCTTCTGTTATTGTAATCAGTAAAAATGGCTGTGTGCAAGTAACCTGTGCTACTTAAAGGGATTAAAAAATGAACAGTTCTCCTCCATTGTTTCCACCAAAGCTGAATAACCAGGCAACCAACCAAACAAATCTAGGCAATACTAAGAATTTTGCAGTCAAACAAACTTCGTCCAGCCTTTGCGTTTGGTTCTACATAATAGATCCATATTTCTAATGATCTGTATATTTGAGAAGAGGAATTCATTCATATTTACCTGCCCCCAACCTCTGAACAAACATCACCAATAAAGATATCATTAACTGCAGTAGGGTCTGAGGTCAGATTCTCAGTTCGTGCAAGCTAATGTAGCTCTGAAGACACTGATTTATACATCCCACAGATCTGTCCTTAGTTAAAGAAAGAAATTGGATACAACTTCTCTCTGAAAATTATGGACCTAATCCTGGTATTAATTTCAAAATGAGTTTTGTCACTGACTTCAGAGAGAGATGAATGAATTTCTCACGACCGCAGAAATGTGACCAAGATAGGCTACAAAGAAAGAATTTTAAACTGAACTTTAGTTTGAGATTTCATCATAGTTTGAGACCATCCACATTTGGCAAAGCAATTTGGGACCATCTTGACATACCAAGACAACTGAGACCCAGCTCATGTTACCAAGACCACAGTGAATTACCTTAGTTCCCACAAAATGAATGGAAAAAAATGAAGGGAACTAGGGTTTCACCTAATGGTTAGTCTCTTCAGCTGTATCTTCAGTACAAAAGATCTGTTTTTAATTATATTAAAAAACACAAGGAAAAATCTTATGGCAGATGCTGCGTATTTTCCCCTAACACGGAATGCTGAATTAAAACATACAGATAGATCCAGGTTTCAGTTCAACTTGCTGCCTCCTGTGAAAACAATGAAGAGCACTGCTCATTAAAATTTCATTTTAAAACATCCAGCTTCAGCTAAGAGTATAACTCTTTCTTTCTTGGTAACAAAAAAACCTGAAAACTCAAAATGAGTTGTATAAAGCATGCCTTTATTCTTTGTAAGACTGGGATCTCTTGGCCCGAACCCAAATACAGTAAGTCAAAGGCAAGATGTCTTTATGTGGGGTATGGATCAGGTCTCATATTCTCATCTCAAAAACAGAAGGATTTGGATCCATTCTCATCCCTGAGATGAAATCCTACAGACAGGAGCTGTCCCTCTTCTCCCTGAAGCTGTCAAAGGTGGCTCTGAATGCTCAGGAACCTGGAATAATTTCTTGTTATAGCAAGAAATGGAGTAATCTCCGCTGAATCTCAAAATGGTACTGAACTTTTATTTTCCAAACTTTCATGGCACTTAATGTAGCTCTAGCTTTTTTACTGTAGTGCTCTTCACCACTTGTTCTGGCACCAGACATCTTATTTTCCCACTTCTTCATATTTCTCAGAAATTTTTGGTAAAAAACATTTTGATCACCTCCAGATACCACATGATAAGGAGGCTTCTCTCTCTACCTGTGCTAACATTTCATCACACATTATCTGCTTCTCTATCTGTTGATTTTAGCCTTGATCTTTAAGCTTCTAAACAAAATTCTATTTTTTTTGGTCTTTTGTCCATGTTTGCATATGGATAACATAATCTATCTGAAATTTCACACATGCACATAGTAAAGTACAGAAATGGGACTTTCAAACTATAATGGATGCAATTGTAATTACAAAAAGATATAAAATCTGAGTTTCACCAATAAAAGCAAGCACAGTCGCTTGTAAGGCAACCTCTCCTTCCTTAAGTTCTCTTACTATGCATCTAAATAGCGATAGATGTAACAGGCAAAACTTGGAGAAATATGCCAGTGACAGTGCAGCTCAATGTTGCTTTAATTGTGTTCACATTCCTTACTATTTATTCTTCAGAAATCATGTGCGAGGATGCTTTGTTTATAAGAACACTTGCCAAAACAAAGTTTTGGCTGTCAGCTCTGATTACTGTAGTTATAAAATCGAATAATTTTGTGTGGAAGCAACCAGTAAGTCCTAATTTATCCAGAATTGACTACACATAACCTTGAAGGAAAATGATACACCTTGAAATGTGCACACCAACATTCCAAAGCATGGGTTTGAAGTGCCCACATAAAAACAGCTGTCAAACCATCTTGTTCAGTGAGTACACTTGCAAGAAGAACAGCAAAACAAAACAAAGCAAAGCAAAATATAACAAAACAAAACAGTCTGCTTGGAAGCCAATTATAACTACGAGAAAGAAATTATTTATTTGTTGCAAATTGTTAGCTCAGTGTCTTGTGCATTAGGCATTATTTCAAATTGTACATCAGACAAAGGAACTGTATCTGAAGATATAAGAGGATTTTATATGCTGTATTTGTACAATAGCTAACAAAAACCTTAACACAAAACTTGGTGGGCAACTCTTTAATTGGGAGATTGGTAGAAGCACTATTTCATAGTGCCACATTATTGCCTTCTTGTTGTTGTACCTGAATTAAGTCATATTCACATATTTTATGTATTGTTTCAGAATGGTATATAGAATGCAAATGTGTAAGGATAATTTGTCCAGCTCCAGAATTTTCCCCATATATAAATCATTTTCATATGCATACGCATATACATGTGTACAAAATCATCATGAATTTACAACAAACCTGCTATACATAGGCTATTTAGGGCTTTGTACACCTCAAAGGTTTAACTTTTGGCAATACTGTATAATTGAAGGAGTTAATTCAATGTAAAAACTAGTTCTAAAAGTCAATCCAAAACCAAAATCTCATTACAAATATTCTAGACTTTCGGGATGAGCAGAGCATGATTCTGGTGGCTTAGTCTCATAATAGTAGTGTTTAACATGTGTGGTCTCATTTGTTCATTTTTCTCCTGCAGGAAAGAATGGCTTTTTTAACAGGATCTCAGGCTATTCAGGGTAATTTATGGCAGTGAAATCATTTAAGATTTGCTTGACCATGTTATTCAATTTTTGTTTATTTTTTTATTTATTTGCTCAAAGCAACCTCTTTGATTTTTTCATGCAGCTTGAAGAGCCAGTTTAGCTTCAAAAGCACATTTCAATATGCTAAAGTTTAAGAAGTCAAATAATTAAAAAGAAAAAAGTTTTTTAACTGGATGTCAGTGTTTGCCAAAATGCTGGATGTTACTATTGCATGAACATGTGGAAAGGATTTTTATTTTTGATTTCTGACAGCAACTGTTAGAGACACAGAAACACCGGCAATCACAACAAATCCCCAGGCAGAATCTCAGCTATTGCATAAACAGCTTCACTGGAGTCGTTGGGAGAACGCTGATGAGCACTGGCTGAGGACGTGGCCAAAGAAATATTTAAAAACCTAAAAATAAAAGCTATTGTCTGAACAACATCAAAAAAAATCTAACTTTTTTTGTCTTCTTTTCCAAAGCAAACACTGCAAAAAACAACTATATTCCTTATGCATATGAAGATCAGCAGCACAGCCAAATAGGGCTTATCATCAGTACTGGATGTTCTTATTCGCCTCTAATCTGTCTTTGTTTTATTTGACAGTGCAGTTCAGGAAGTCTGTATAAATGGAGAAGGTGCTGGAGGGCTATTTCTAATTCCCACCTCCCCACCGGGCCATTTACCTTGCAACCTTCACAAGTGATGCAGCGATAATGATATCCGGTGGCTTTGTCCCCACACACTACACATAGCTCATCCTTGTCTAAGTAACTGGGTATATACCCTGGAAAGAGAAAGAAAGTGGCAGGTAAGCACTAAATAGCATATTAAAATCCACTGCAGATTTTTTCTACCAGCCCCATACTTCTGACCTTGCAGAACCACTGGCTGAATTCCATGAATAAAAAGCTTTTGCAAAACATGTTACAGGCGAATTTGAACATAACTTGTGTTATCTTCCATTTTTCAAACTGTTTCAGCATGTATCGGTCAAGAAAGACCAGTTTGAACAAGATTACCCTCTCCTGAGTGAAAGAATATTTCAGAAACATAAATGCATTTATTTTTACCTCAAAGGCTTTGATGTGAAAAAAAATAAATAGCAGTGAAACACACATTATATCTCTTTCCTGTTTCACAAAAACCCTCATATGCTTGTATACTGCAGTAAGATGAGATTCCAGCTTGCAAAGTGACTCAGAGGCCTGTTACGAAGAATATTTACCGACAGTTCGTTTGCTTCAAAACAGCTCTGCAGGTGTGGTTTGCAAAGCTCCAGCAACAGAGAGTGAAAGCTGGATGGATCATACCTTACCTGGGTGTGTTCCACAGCACTGCTTCATATAGCTCGAATTCAGGGCAAAATACGTGGGCATTCAAATATGTGTGTGTGTGTATGTGCATGTGTGAGAATGGTATTTGCTCTTCTGAAGTGGTTTAGCAGACACTCAACAAGTGGAATCAAGTATTACTATGAGGAAAAACATCGGATATGCTTGCTTCTTTTCCCATAACAACATTTGCTTTGATACTATAAACATACTTTCAATTTGAGGAAAAAAAAAACAAAACAAAACCCGATTCTGATAGCAACCAAAAGGCAATTCTAAACTAAAGAGAACTTTGAAACAAAGTATAAAACTTTCAAATAAAGTGTTCTGACAACACAGAATTAATGCAGTTATAACATAACTTTCACATATACTTCATAATAAATAACTTTTCTTTATCTCTGTAAGGATGTAATACTAACATTCCCAGATTGACCCCCAGTGAATAGTGGTGGAAAGAACAGATTTTTTACATAAAATGTGAGATTATTAAAATACAGTAAAAACCTCACAGAACCACGGAAAGGTTGAGGTTGGAAGGGATCTCTGGAGATCATCTGCTTCAGCCACCCGGGCTCAAGAGGGGTCATTCAGAAGAGGTTGCCCAGGACTGTCTACAGTTGTGTTTTGAATATCTCTGAGGATGGAGACTCCATTGAAGATAGAAGTTTCCCCAGAGAGGTCTCTGGGCAACCTGTTACTGTTTTCTTCGTTTCAGATGGACTTTCCTGTGTTTCAGTTTGTTTCTCCTGCCCTGTCAGTGAGCATCACTGAGAAGAGTCTGTGTCCATTCCCAAATCAGGTGCGGATACACTTTGACAAAGATCTACCCCTAAGCTTTCTATTCAACAACTAAACAATTTCAGCTCTTGTAGACCTCTCCTTGTACAAGATGCTCATCCCTTAACAATTATAATCCTGATAATTATCTTTTGTTGTCTTTGCTGGACTCGCTCCATTATGTCCATATCTTGTACTGGGGAGCCCCGCACCGGACACTGCACTTCAGACAAGTTCTCCCCAGAGTTGAGTAGGACGGGAAGATTGTCATTGTCAACCTTCTGGCAATGTCATTCCTAACGCAGCCCAGGATACTGTTGGCCGCCTTTGCCACAAGGGCACATTGCTGGCTCATGTCCATCTTGCTGTCCCACGGTCCTTCGCCGCAGAGCTGCTTTCTAGAAAGCTGGCCGCCAGCCTGACCTGGTGCATGGGATTATTCCTTCCTAGTGCAGGACCCTACACTTGCCTTTGTGGAACTTCATATGGAGGTTCCTTTCCACCCAGCTCTCCAGCCTATCAAGGTCCCTCTGAAAGGCAACACAACCCTCTGGTGTATCAGCCACTCCTGCCAGCTGTGTATCGTCATTAGCAAATTGCTAGGGTGCACTCTGTCCCTTCACCCAGGTCACTGATGAAGAGGTTAATGGTACTGGTCCCAGGATTGACTCCTGTGGGACATCACTAGTGACCGTTATCCAGCTGGACCTTGTCCTGCTGATTACAACCTTCTAAGGCTGCCAGTTCAGTGAGTATTAAAATACTTGGAATTAATTGAGCTTAACTTAAGTGAGCTTTCTGGGTGTTGATGAGTGGATTAGGAGCAAGTTAGGAGCAAGTAAAGAAGGATGGCAGGAAGAAGAATACTGTCAAATTTAGATGTCCAGTTTTGAGCAGTTAAGCAGACTTAAATCTTTTAAATCTAAATCTTTTGTTTATCTAAAATTAGATAAACAAAAATACCCCCTTATGTAACTTTGGGAAGCAGGAGCACTCTGAAGGCATGCCCAGATGCCTGTGTCTCAGCTTTGCTAATGCTCCTGAAATCTGAAAGGGAACTGGTCAAGATCTTACTGACGTATGATATCAGTCTACGATATGGCAAAAGATGCGGTTTGCATTCAGGTTGTGTTTCTGCATCATGAACCAGTTGTGCTTGCACAGAGATTGGTGGACACGTGCAGCTGGCTCTGTGACCTTGCGGGAGCAGAGACAGCAGGGTTTCTATTCCAATTTACATCACTGGCTCCTAATGGACTTTGTGGCAGGAGAGGATTAGCAGTGGCAGTTATCCCTGTCCTGCCCCCTTCTCACTCACACCTGCCTCACACAGCTGATGCAGGAGGCAGCTGAAGTAGGAAAGCAAAGGGAAGCAAAGTCTTCCACTGAGTTTCTCATAAACATTAAGGGCTTCTTGCTACTGCTGGCATCATGAAACACAGCGTTAGCACAGCATAGATGCTATCCTCTAAAATTCAGTCTCCTTTGCTTGCTCCCTCAAGAGTTAATTCTGCATTAAAGGCCTTGATATTTCATTAAGTATATAATCTGGTTAGCACTATTCATGTAATGGCAGCTTTGTTCTACAGGAGGAGCAGGAGATTACTTGTTTAAATGGCCTCCTTAAACACACATAGCAGCACACGAGTGACCACTGGGGTTCCTATCCCTCTCAGGGTTTTCAAGACTTCACTCAACCCAGAAGACAGTTTGGAATCTGTCAGAGAAGATAAATCTTCAATGGGCAGTCCTAGTCAGAAATAATAATAAAAAAAGAATCCCTAAATGACACCACATTCCCTATTTTGCTTTATCAGAAGTATTAAGTAATGTATTTTTAACGTACTTAAATGTGAAATATGATGTTCATTATTTTTAGATGATCACGCCCATATCACAAAATAAGCACATACACTGTGAACTCCTTCACTGATTCAACAAGAAACACGAATAAAAAATTCTTATCCCAAGAAATCACTGACAATAAAAATGTGCAATAAACATTTTAGCTTTCTATTAAAAACCTGAGAGTGATATTCACACTTTGGCTCATTTTTAAGCTTTCTTCCAGTAACTACTACTAGTTTCCAGGAGAAACTGCTAGAAAGTAGAAAAATGGGACATTCAGCAGAGATTTAAAAAGACATATGCTTCAGGCAAACAGACATCAGGCCAAGGGGAATAATAGGACTTACAAACCTTAACTTCCTTATAAATATTTGCTAATTTTTGCAAGTACCTCTGCTTAAATTCAGTGCAACTTTGGCTTCTAGACTTGCAGATTAGCAGATAAGCAATTTTTCTTATTCACTGTTCGAATCCATAGTAGCAGAATGAAATTCAATGATACTTTTCTAAACATGGTGCCGGCACGGAAGCTATGAATAGCACGATGCAGACTCTTGGGGAAGTCTTGGATGGCAACAGACCTATGTGTCTCATTTAGCCGAAGAGCAAAAAGAGGCTGAACGAACTGAGTTTGAGAAAGCAGCTGAGAACAGACTATTTTCTCACTCCCTGGAGCTCTGAAGAAAACAGAGGATTTGCAGACTAAGAGATTTGTCCCTCATGTCAGCAAGTACTTTTACCTCTCGGATGTGTTTCATAATTCTAGATGGAAAATACAAGTTCCTACGGGAAGCAGCAGAGGTTGTCTGGATAGAGTGATGTGGGTGCTCTAGTATGAAAGAATATCTGATGACAAATCCCATGGAAACATTGGGTGGGCTCTGGTGTTCATATCTCATCCTGCGTTACTTGGTCAAACTGCAAAGTAATTAATTAGGAGGAACCATTCAAAAGCAACATTGACCCAACCGAGCTGGATTCAAGCCCCTGTGTGCTGTGGTCTGTCATCCTCTGGGATCATCATGTGTCACAAGGAGTGTGATCCCAATGGCTAACCATCTATCCCTCAGCTTTGAGTTGACCTTGCTCATCTTGATACCCACTCCCGACCTTGGCTTTGAATGGGGAGCACCAGGCAGTGCCCTTGCCCTCGGTACACCTGGTGTTTCCCCTATGGTCCGAGGTGACTTCCTGGTTCCCCAGACTCCCACCTGCCCGTCTGTCTAATCGGACTGTCTTGGCAGGCCTAAGTCCTCAGCAGGACCCCTTACCCATCCTGCAAGACTGTGTTGCATAATCCAATATAACCCATCCTGAGGGTGAACCACAACAGCTTTTACATTTAACTCTTTAACAGTCTTTGTAGAGGTATGGAAAAAACAATCCCTTCCGCAGGAAAATGCACAACGGAGAGGTCACAGCAGCTGTACGGGCCGAATGAGATTTACTAACTGATCTGCAACAGTTTGTTTCATTACTACCGTACGCCCAAATTCTCAAATTACTTTGTGTAGGAATGATACCTTAAAGCAGTACATGTGACCCCAGACAGTGTAATAGACTAGAGGGACACAAAGGAGATAACAGTTGCTGTTTATCCTCTTCCCTACCTAGGGGCCTGTGTGACATGCGCTCCACAAAATTATGCATACCTACTAGATGTTACTTACCAGCTTGTTTCTGATACACTTAAACTGCTTGCAAGCACGAAATAGCTTTTTCTTTTTTTTTTTTTTTGTTATTTTACAAGAATACTTGTATTTTAAGACCATTATTCAGTATTTTGGTGCATTTTTATTGTACTATGGCATAGGATAATGTACTG